GCAGGGAGCCCGATACGGGACTCGATCCAGGGACTCCAGGATCATGACCTGAGCCGAAGGCAGTCGCCTAACCAACTGAGCCACCCAGGCGCCCCTCCCTTTGTTTCTTAAATCCCACATATCAGTGAGATCATATAATTGTCTTTCTCTGATTGACTTATTTCGCTTAGCACAATACCCTCTAGTTCCATTCATGTCGTTGCAAATGGCAAGATTTCATTTTTTTGATGGCTGAGTAGTATTCCATTGTACATATATATACCACATCTTCTGCAATACACACTTTCTCATCACAGCTGAAAAGCTCTAATGATCCTCTTCTTGTTAACATTGCATTGACAGAGCATCATGGTCAGACTCTGGTCTTGAGGAAAGCTGCAAAACTAGTCAAGAGGATATCAGAAGCAAGAGAACTTGAGAATATGCTTCCCAAGCAGGTGAGCACATGATTGGAAATTTAATAGTAGAGATGATTTAAGAGGGGCTAGGAGATCTGGTGAGAAAAGCCAGCACCGTGAAGATGTCAGGGTAAGAACTGGGGTATTTCTGATTATAAACTAGGGTGATACAGTCAGGAAATCTCCCAAGGGTAATTCCTGGGTGAGGTAGGTACCATTTAGTTGAGTGAGCGTTTCATCTGGATTTCTCCAGGGATTTAAGTTAACTGCTTGGAATTCAGGAGCTTTGGCATAATGGAAAGAGAGCACTGAGCCTCAGTTTTCTACTCTAGAAAATGGGGATGACAATTCCTAGGTCATGGTGTCCTTATGAGGTTTACCTGAGGTAGTGATGATAGTGTTCATGTAATGAACACTTACTATATGTCAGATATCAAACTAAACCTGTACGTATATTTTTTTACTTTCACGGTTCTCTGAGATAATTACTCCTGCTCTTCTTTAGTTTATTAGTGAGGGAAGTGATGCTCAGAGCATTGTCCAAATTCACAAAGCAAGTAAATAGATAAAGCCAAGTCTTGCATGCAGATCTGTCTGACTCTGAGCCTGAGCTTTTCATCTGTGAGCTTTGCCATTAGCAAAGTCCCCAGAACTTGAAAGGCCCTGGATTAACGTGTGTTCTTTCCTCTTCTCCTCCCCTCCCCTAACACTTCCCCACAAAACTCTTCAGATGGTCATTTACATCAATGGCACCTTCGGAGTTCTTGAAACTTCCTCATTTCTCCATATTTTACCGCTGCCTATTTCCCCTCAGTATTTAGGAATGAAATTTTGAGAAGTAGCAGGACATGATAAAAAAGACAGACAGACATGGGTTCAAATCTCAGTGCTGCATCTCATCAACTGTGTTACTTAAGCGGGTTGTTTAACTTTTCTGACCTTATTATATAAAATGGGGAAAATAAGGGCACCTGGGTGGCTCAGTTGTTAAGTGTCTGCCTTCGGCTCAGGTCATGACCCCAGGGTCCTGGGATCGAGCCCCGCATCGGGCTCCCTGCTTAGCGGGAAGCCTGCTTCTCCCTCTCCCACTCCCCCTGCTTGTGTTCCCTCTCTCGCTGTGTCTCTGTCAAATAAATTAATAAAATCTTAAAAAAAAAAAAAGTATCTCATTGTGGTTTTGACTTCTGTTTCCCTAATGACTAGTGATATTGAGCATCTTTTCATATGTTTATTGGCAGTTGTGTATCTTCCTTGGAGAAATGTTTATTCCAATCTATTGCCCATTTTTAGATTGAGTTGTTCTTATTTTTGTTGTTGAGTTGTCACAGTAGGGCCAGAATTTTAGCTTGAGCAGTCTGACTCTAGATCCTAAGCTCTAAATCGGACTCCATACTGACTTCAGTGTATCTTACATAATGTTCTGTATGAGAGCACCTGGAGGTCCATCATAGTCTGTTTTCACATTTACACCTGTGTTCCATAGTTCCTTAACCATTTTCCTATCAGTAGACACGTGGGTTCTTCCAGTCTTTGCTGTTATAAATACTGCTGCCTTGAACATCTTAGTTTTTATGTGTTTCTTGGCTCACATGTACAAATACACATGTAGGGGGGGCACCTGGGTGGCTCAGTCATTAAGTGTCTGACTTCAGCTCGGGTCGTGATCCCAGGGTCCTGGAATTGAGCCCCACATCGGGCTCTCTGCTCAAGCAGGAAGCCTGCTTCTCCCTCTCCCACTCCCCCTGCTTGTGCTCCCTTTCTTGCTGTGTCTCTCTCTGTCAAATAAATAAATAAAATCTTAAAAAAAAAAAAAACATGTAGGAAACATTCCTAGGCTCACATGTACAAATACACATGTAGGAAACATTTGTACTCCTAAAAATACACATGTAGGAAGCAGAATTGCTAAATCAAAATACATCTTAAATTGCTCTCCAGTGAAGTCGTGCCAATTTATATTCCCACCAGCAGCATATGAGAGACCTTCCATGTACCTTTGCCAATGTCATGCATTATCAAATTACTTGTTGCTGTTCTCATGAGGGGGAAGTGGTACTTTTTATTGTTTCAACATTAATGCTTTAATTATGAGTGAAGTTAAGTCTATTTTTTTTTAAATGTTTTATTTATTTATTCATGAGAGTCAGAGAGAGAGAGGCAGAGGCAGAGGGAGAAGCAGGCTCCCCACCTAGCAGGGAGCCCGATGCGGGACTCGATCCAGGACCCCGGGATCATGACCTGAGCCGAAGGCAGACGCTTAACCATCTGAGCCACCCAGGCGCCCCGTTAAGTCTATTTTTTAAAAGATTTTATTTATTTGAGAGAGAGAGCACAAGCGGGGGAGGTAGGGCAGGGAGCCTGCGGGGCTCAATCCCAGGACCCTGAGATCACGACCTGAGCTGAAGGCGCCATTTAATCAACTGAGCCACCCTCCCATTTTTCTATATATATAATACGTTGGAACTTATATTTCTGTGAAATGCCTTAGTCTTTTGTTTTTAGTTTTTTTCTAAGTAGAAATATTTCTACTTCTGAGGTTAAGGTTTTTAGGCTTTTGCTCATTATTCATTTGTAGAAGCTCCATTCTTAGTCATATGTTTGGCAAAAACGTTTACTATTTAATCGTTTTACTTTATGGTATTTTCTGTGAGAAAATTGTAATTTTTTTTACAGCCACATTGATTGGTCTTCTCTCTTATGGCTTCTCGATCTCATTTCTTACTAAGAAAGATCTTTACCACTCTAATTCTCCCAACTTTTTCCGCAGTATTTTTATATTTATATATTTTTTAAATGGTTTATTTATTTATTCATGAGAGTCAGAGAGACAGAGAGAGAGAGAGGCAGAGGCACAGGGAGAAGCAGGCTCCGCGCCTAGCAGGGAGCCTGATGCGGGACTCGATCCCAAGACCCTGGGATCATGAACTGAGCCGAAGGCAGATGCTTAACCATCTGAGCCACCCAGGCGCCCCGCAGTATTTTTATATTATCACCTATTCACAATGCATATCTTTACTCACATAACCAGATGTCACCAGGGGGTCACTCTGCTCCTTTGAATTTAGCTAAAGATTGGCTCAAGTATTTGCTATATGATATGTTTGAAGCCCAGTCCTCTCCCCACATGTCTGTGAACTCTGGGGGTTTATGTTTTTCCTGGCACCGAGCTCCTCTTCTGTCCCAGATGTGCTCTGCACATACCACAGCAGCCCAAATATGGAACTCAACTCTTCCCTTCATTTTTGCAAAACCACCCACACACACCCTGTGTGTGTGTGTGTGTGTGTGTTATATGGATAGAAGGTATTATTACTAGGTTTAAAGAGGTGGGAAGAAGGGGGACCCTATTATGGGGGTGCTTAGAACAGTCATGTGAGTTACCCTTCTTACAAACCCTATAGTTGCTCCACCTGTTAGACCCTATCCCCAGCCCTCTCCTCTTTCCTCTTTTCTGTTTCTCCCATCTCCAGCTCCTGCTCATTTCTGATGCAGAGCAGCATAACCCTCACTCTGCCTTTGGCTCTAAGCTTCTCACCAAGTAGCTAATTGCTGTGTGTTCCTGAGCAAGGACAGTCCCCTTGATGTGGGAAACAAAGGCAAAAGAACAAAATTAAATTTCCTTACTGCTTACAGTCCACTGACCAATCCTTGAGACAGGCAGAGTGATCTTCCTCTGGGAGCTCAGCTACCTCGATGTCGACACTTTGCTAAGGGCAGAGGCAATCTTAGGATCCTGTGAGTCTACTTTAACATATAAAAATTCCTTTGGAGGGGCGCCTGGGTGGCTCAGTGCGTCGAGCGTCTGCCTTCGGCTCAGGTCATGATCCCAGGGTCCTGGGATCGAGCCCCGCATCGGGCTCCCTGCTCCACGGGAAGCCTGCTTC